TTTTTTTTTTTTTAAGATTATACTTATTTGAGAGAGAGAGAGAGTGAGTGGGGGAAGGAACAGAGGGAGAGGGACAAGCAGACTCCACCCTGAGCGTGGTCGCCCAACATGGGTCTCGATCTCAGGACCCTGAGATCATGACCTGAACCAAAATCAAGAGTCAGACGCTTAACTGACTGAGCCACCCAGGAGCCCCTCAGCTCAGGTCTTGATCTCAAGGTCGTGAGTTCAAGCCCCACCTTGGGCTCCACACTGGGCATGGAGTCTACTTTAAAAAAAAAAAAAGTGATGGGGCAAGGGGGATTCAGAAAGGTGTGGCTCATACTGGATGGTGAGAACAGGCCTCCCAAGGTGGAGGTGGTGGAGCTGAGACCTGAGGGGTCAAGTCTTGCAGAAACCTGGCTCAAGAGCCAACGAGCAGAGGGAACAGCCAATTCACCAACAGTTATTCTGGGAAACTCTCAAGGTGGCCTGTTTTCACCCCTTTCAAATACTTGCCCTTCATTTCTTCAGTGGAATTTCTATTTTGTCCAAGTGATCTTTTATAAAAATTCCTGCTCTTGAATCTGTTTTTACACGGCTAGACACCTCTACATTCATAAATATTGGGTCTCTGCCACAAAGCCCTAAATCCATCTTCCATACCTGGGCTGCAGTTTTCAGTTTTTTCCACCAGGGGCCACCCTTGCAAACGTTTCTGAAACCAACAGCCCCACCCTTGCCAGAGAAGCCGGTGACCGAGGTGGGAGGGTGAACAGCACCATGATCATCCCCTTTTGAAGACTCAGGCTTAGAGAGCTTAAGAAATTTGCCTGACATCCTATAACTAGTGAAGGGCAGAGCTGGGACTGGCCCTTAACCCGAGCTACTTAGTTTCATGATTAGAACCTTGGTTATTTTAAAGGATAGTTTTGCCTCCTAGAGTCCAGGGAAATCTGGGGCCACCTTCTGCAGTAACTGGGAGTTGCGATCTAGCCAAACAGAGTTCAAAGGAAGGGAGCTGGGTCCTTTAAATAATCACCTACCCAACCCTCTCTCCTCCCTGTTTGCAAAAACAAAAATCAAAACCATGCCTCCACCCCTACCCTCACCTCTTAGGCTGGTTTTATAACTCACTTCCCAAACTTTAGGGGGTGAGGGTGGGGGTGGGGTGAGCAGGGGAAGGCTGTAGTAAAGGACAGAAGAGGGACAAGAAGAAAGGGTTGGTCTCCGAGTCTTGTGGCCAGATAATAAGCCCAGATTCCACCATGTTCCTGCTGAGTGGCCTTAAACAACACACTTAACCTCTCTGGGCCTCATTTTTCCCTACTGGGACGTGAAGGATGCCACCACGGATGGAGCCTACCTCTTCAGGGTTTTTGTGAAGATTAACAAAGACAGGGAATGTGATCACATTTTGAACGTGGAAGAGCAACGCGAGCAGAAAATGATAATTATTATTTCTGTGCATTTGGGTAGACAAGTATTTGCCCGAAGCCAAGTATTTGCTAAATGAACAGAGGAACCATAAAAATGACAAAAGAAATGCAAAGTCCTTGAAGGATGGGCAGATACTGCCTTTTATGTCTAACATAGGAATTCCATCTCAAACTAGCAAAACAAGATGTTTTTCAAATAACCCTCCCCCAAACCCATCCCAGCAGAAGTAATGGGGTGACTTGCCAGTATTTGGGGGATTGTCACATAAACAGGGAGCAAGAGATACCTCTATTTATCACACCAAATTAATTCCTTCCCCCAGCTGGCCCCAATCTGGGCAATGAAAGTTGGAACAAGCAGGACTGGACTTGCCAAGGGTGGCAGCCTGAAAAATTGAAAATGGTTTTGCAAATAACTTTGATGCAAGGCACTTAACCTGTTTGGGGGCATCTTGTCTTAATGGTGGCTAAGCCCCACCCCTTTGAGAAGTGACAAAGAAGTGTGCGGAGCCCCAACCTGAATTTCCAGGTGCTCATTAAGGCCTATTATCTTTCTCTGCAACCCGATCCTCTGGGCTGATAAACCAGAAATTACAGGAAAGATGAGGGAATCTCCAGCTCCGGAAAGGCTCTGGGAAACTTGCTTCACCCCTGACAAAGGCCGGACAGTGTCTCAGAGACACAGTGACCACTACCACTGCCTGGGGAGTCGAACAAGAACAGCAAAGTATTGGAATGGATTGGTACATGGGGACTGGGTATATTTTAACGTTTCACAATAAAAAATTAAAAATAAAATCAGCAAGGGATTAAGTATTCTTTAAGTCAGGATGACCTCCTTTCCTAAAACCTGTCATTTGGTCACTAGGTCTAGAAACCAAATCCCAGTGACAAGAGCCAACAACCCACGTGGCCATCTCTAGGTGTGAAAATCTTTTCTTTCTTTTTTATTTATTAAAGATTTTGTTCATTTATTTGAGACAGCAAAAGAGAGCACAAGCTGGGGGAGGGGTGGAGGGAGAGGGAGAAGCGGACTCCCTACTAAGCAGGGAGCCCGGATGCAATGTGGGGCTCGATCCCAGGACCCCCCCCCCCCCGAGATCATGACCTGAGCTGAAGGCAGATGCTTAACCAACTGAGCCACCCAGGAGCGCCCAAAATCTTTTGTCTACAATAATATCATCACTGGGACTCCCGGGTGGCTCAGTCATTAAGCGTCTTCCTTCAGCTCAGGTCATGATCCCAGGGTCCTGGGATCAAGCCCCGCATCGGGCTCCCTGCTCGGTGGGAAGCCTGCTTCTCCCTCTCCCTCCACCTGCTTGTGTTCCCTCTCTCGCTGTCTCTCTGTTAAAAAATAAATAAAATCTTAAAAATAATATCACCATCGGGCGCCTGGGTGGCTCAGTTGGTTAAGCGACTGCCTTCGGCTCAGGTCATGATCCTGGAGTCCTGGGATCGAGTCCCACATCAGGCTCCCTGCTCAGCGGGGAGTCTGCTTCTCCCTCTGACCCTCCCCCCTTTCATGCGCGCTCTCTCTCATTCTCTCTCTCAAATAAATAAATAAAATCTTAAAAAAAAAAAAA